TAACATTCATAACACCAAACTTACATGCCATTTGTCATGCCGTGTGAAATATAATTCTTTACTTGCTCAAAAGATTTTCCCAACTCCCTCTGCCTCTGCCAACTAACTTTCATGATAATAACAAAATTATGTCAAACTCGATCCTCCAATGCCATTGCCAGCCTAGCAACAGAGAAACTAGTATGATATATTATACAGGCACTTGAATCATCCCCATGTTATCTTCATTTATAGGTCAATTAGATCAAATTTATTAGGTACAAACTACAATTAGACTGTCCACGCACAATTTTTAAAAAAATCATTATTTGAGGGCCCTTGAATTTATGGCATTGCAATTGCACCCTCATCTCTCTCATCACTCAATGTCATTGACCATTTCCAAATCCATTCCACTTTCTGTTGGACCACCTGAAAACGTGGGTGCCTAAAAGTAGCTACCCTTCAAACTTCAAATTACATAAACTTTTGTATTTCAGGTAAGCCGTCGAACTTTCATAGTTGCTGTTAGTTAAAACCCCAGAGAGGATAAACCAACTACCGTTCTTTCAATTTTGGTGCCTATCACCCTGCTGCCTAAGAGCAGCTTATCCTATTCCACTCTCCAGGATGGCGGTTCAAACACCACTTGAGCATCACCATCTCCAAGCTATTCAAAACTTGTCTCTGCTCCTGTAGTCATCTTCAATATATCAAAAATGCAGCTTCTCTTTCGAACTATTTTCTCCACATTCTTCTATTTACTACCTTAAATTCTTTATCTTTCGTGTCTCAAGCAAGCAATTCTTGCAATGCTACATCTTTTTTTGAAGCATCTGGCAGAAGTCTCGCTGGTGTTATAGGTAATGTCATACTTTTAATCTTTTATGCACACTCTTCTCCACTGAAGGGACACATTTCAAATGCTATGAAAAGGAAATGGCACATATAGCTTTAGGCCATCTGAAATTGTTTAGCTTCAAAGTCTCTACCCCCTTGAAGCAGTAGGAAATGCAAATCTATAGCAGTTTGAAAAAAACAATTTGTAGGTCTTTTGACATTTTGAAAACAACCATTTAGCTAACTTTTCATAAATTCTTTATTCATGAAACCAAAGTCATCTTCCTTTCAAATCCAAGTCAAATGCCACACATGCCATGGATTTTTAACTAAAATTTTTAGAGCTTAACTTTCTTCTCCAGATCATTAAAAAGCAGTAGGTAGATATCAATCCCCGGAACAATGTGTTCTCCATTCAACAGTATGGATCAACTAAAGCTCCACCTTCACATCTCTCAATCTATGAATTTAACAACATCGAACGAGGTAAGTCCTTCAACTAGCAAATCAAATTTTCTCAGCTTAATTACAATTACTGTTCAGAAGATTATAGTGTATTTTTTTTCCCTGAATTGATGGTTTACAGGAGGATCTTGTTGAATGGTGCCTTGCACTTAACTTGATTTCTCACCTAGCAGCTTATATTGCAGTTTTAGGTATAATCATAACACATCTGAAAACTCAAACATGAAGCATACCCATACTGCTATACTTGTATGTCATTAATATTATTTAGTTGTTGCAGCATTAATCGCGATAGTAATTCTGATGATTTTGAGGTATGTCTCGGAATTTAATGATGAGAGCAACGAGTATGAATCGAGGCCAACAGAGACTACTCCATTGTGCAGTACCAATGTGGCAGCATCAGTGACATACAGAACATGTGAAGATCAAGATTTGGAATCAGGAAACTGCAACAACAGTAGTGATGAATCTGATGATGACTTGTATGATGGGAAACTATGTGCGATTTGTTATGACGAGCAGCGGAATTGCTTCTTCGTTCCATGTGGGCATTGTGCCACCTGCTATGAGTGTGCTAAGAGGTAAACCTGAATATGTTTTTTTATGAAAGAATTGAAGATATGTTATCTGGATTGGTGTTTATAAATCTTATTGGATGATTGGTTTACAGGATTTTTGATGGAGAAAACAAGAAATGTCCAGTGTGCCGAAGATTGATTGGTAAAGTAAGGAGACTTCTTGCTCCATAGCATCATTCTTTTAGGAGCTGAGTTTTTTTTTTTTTTTTTTTTTTTTTTTCTGTTTT